AATTATGTTTACTATTGACAAAAAGATGATGTGATGAAGGGACTATCAATAGTCGATCAACGTGATTTTTTTTATAGATGAAATATTCCATAAATTTTATGCATTAAGGGTTCGTTTGGGAAGTGGGTTGGTTTTTTAGATTTTTGACTTTTTTTTGGCTATTTTAGCTTTGGATTAAAAAATCTCATTTGGAAATGACTTTCGACTTTTTTGACTTTTTGTGAAAGAAAGAATATAATGATTATGAATTAGGTGCAATGTTTTATTTTTTGTAGCTAAAAATTTATTTTATTTTTTATAATTATTTTAACAAAAAAATCTAATATTTAATTTTTCAAACGAAGCCTAAATAATATATATTATCAAAATAAAATCTATAATATACGGATCCAACTGCACTGGTCAGTCTTCTGTTTTTTTTTTTTTTTCATCTTTTCAACTGACATGTTATTTGTCATTTAATAATGGAAATTGCTTTAGAGCTCTAAAAATGTAGCTCTAAATTGACATTAAATTATTTTTTTCTTCCCTTTATTTTGTCTTTTTCTGTTTTTTTTTTTTTTTTTTTTTTAAGGGGTTGCGAGCTGCTATTAGAGCAGCTCTACTAGAGCTCTCAATCAGTGCCGTTTAATAATTGAGCTATGGTCCAAAAGCAAAAACAAAAGCAAAAGCAAAGTCGGCCACTCCCCTCACATGGGTTATTGTACTGGGGTTGGGGGGTTGGGGTTATAAATGAATAGAATCAGTAAAAGCAAAGTCGGCCACTCCTCACATGGGTTGTTGTACTGGGGTTGGGGGGTTGGAGTTACAAATGAATAGAATCAGTAAAAGCAAAGTCGGCCAGTCCCCTCACATGGGTTGTTGTAATGGAGTTGGGGTTATAAATGAAGAAAAATGACTCAGAGCTCGAAACTAAGAGGCTTGAAACGGCTCGAATTTTTTTTTCCTTTTCAAGCAAAGGAGCTCTGCACAAACAGAGGGAAGAGGAGAGGAGAAAGAGGGAGAGAAGAGAGGAAGAAGAGAGGAGAAGAGAAAGAGGAGGAGGCAGCACCACCGCCGCCGATCGTCGCAGCACTACCTCCTCGCCGATCATCGCAGTCGCAGCACCACCGCCTCTCGTCGCAGCACCACCGCCTCCGCCGCGCCTCCGCCGCTACTGGTTGAGGCCCCTTCCTGTCCAGTTCTCCCTTCTCCCTTCTCCCTTCCCTTCTTCTTCTTCTTCTTCTTCTTCTTCTCCTCCCCTCTTCTTCTTCTTCTTCTTCTCCTCCCCTCTTCTTCTTCTCCCCTCTTCGTTTCTGATGGAACAAAAACACAGGAAAAAGAAAAAAAAAGAAGACACCAAAATGACGTCGTTTTGGTGTTGAGCCAAATTCGAGCCAAAGAATTTCGAGCTACGTAGCACTGCCAATAAATGAATAGAATTAGTAAATTAGGAGTTGTTTGAAATGTCTTAAATAAATGTATTTTTTATTTTTTTAGATTAAAAAATTGAAAAAAAATTTGATATTTGACTTAATTTTTTTACTTTTACGAAAAAATATGTATTAAAAAATTATATAAATTAGTGTGTAGGAAAAGTTTTGACAGTATGGGCTGTATGGTGGCAACAAAGTTTACAGAGTGGTGTAATAGGAAATGATTGTCTCCTTTTCGAACAACCATTTGGACGGTGCTCTTTGGCCAATGAGGGCCCACCACGGGTCTCATTTTGCTAATCGGAACCGTTCAATGTGTACAACTCGTTGAGTATTATACATTTGTAGAAAATCACGTTGATTGGATATCTATAGCTATCTAATCGGATTAGTTGTTTTGTCAACCGTTAACTATAACACCATACATTTTTTATACAAAAATAATTTGATCATATAGTTAGCGATATTTGATCAACGTGATTTTTTATAAACATATAGTAATGGACGAATTCTACATATTAACGGTTCGGATTATTAAAACGGTACCGGTGGTGGGCCCCTACGGGCCTAATATTACCATCTAACTTAGTGAATATATATATGTAATTTTTTTTATTCCTCTCATTGTACTTTCCCATCAATTTAGTACATTTCACAGTGTAAAGTTGGTTTGTATTAAAATATTATGTATATTAATTTTTTTATATTTTTAATTTGTAAATAATGATGGCTTTTTTGTTTTTGTTTTTTTTGTAACTTTTTGACGTTTTAAATTTTTTCTAACATCCTAAACCAGGCCTTAATTTGGGAATGACCCGTTTGAATTCAGTTGGTTAAATTTATATTATACTTCAACTTTTTTAAATTTTAATAAATAAATTCAAACATCTAAAACTCAGCTTGTTAATTCGGCTCGTTAAATGTTTTGTTTAATATTTATTTAATAATAATAGAATAAATATATTAAATAATATAAAAATATAAAAATAGGGGCGGTCATTGGTTCAATGATAAAATCTTAAGTTAATAATCTTGAGATTATTGATTTAAGACTTGAGACAACTACTTTGTACACTATTCTAAAGGTTAGGTATATACTCAATTTTTTTTCCTCCTAGACACATATTAATGTGTACTAAATGGGTATTAATTTATATATTTAAATAACATAAATATAAATAATAGCTAAATTTATTTATATGTATAATAGTCAATTACAGATAATATATTTATATAATAGTAGTGGTAGATATTATTATTTGGTAATATATTGATTTTTTTTAGTATATTTATATATATTGTATATATAATTGTATAAGCTAAATTTCAATTGCAACTTTAGTCTCAAACTTAAGTATGAATTTATAATTTGTTTGACTTGTTAAGACTCGTGAATAGGTTTGAGCTCGAGTTAAGCCGAAGCCAACTTGGTTCGAATTTGTTAAAATCTTAATAATCAAGTCTAAACATATTAAAATTCGGTTTGTTTGCAACTCTTGTTCAAAGGATAAATGCACCTTCCTTTAAATGGCTAGTACTTTTTATTTTATTTTTTCTTTCATAATTCAATTAATTTTTAGATTTTAAAAAATAAGAACTAAATTTTGAATAATAAAATATAAGTAAAAGTTATATCAAATAGTTTAACATAATCTCTTACAATATAAGTATATATAAACAATTAAAAAATATTACACCAAATAATCCAAATTATAATAAATTGTGAAAGTTAAATCGTGTAATTTAGTCCATGTACGATTTATTCAGCTGTCATTTGAAAATAAACACAAAATTTTTATGATTTTTCTCACAATTATTTATTGGCTAAAAAACTCATTTTACCTTAAAAAAAAAAAAAACTTCAACTCATTTGAAATGTTTATTTCCAATTAAAAAACTCATTTTAGCCCTTATAAAGGCAAGTAGAAAAGTAAAACCCCCCCCCCCCTCTTTCTTTAAGTTTTTTAATTTTCGTATTTTTTTATTTTTAGTGAATATTTTTACAATTTTAAATTTTTTTTTACATTTCCAAATGCACCTTACTTAGATTTATTTAAAAAGTAAAAAATTTGTAAAAAAATATTTTAAAAAATTAATAAATACATAAAAATATGAAAAATATATTGAATTCTCATTTTTTTTTTTGTGTTTTTGATATCTAGTGAATTTTTAAAAGATTTTTTCACAAAAATATACTTTTTATGTATATTAATGTTAGGTGTATCTAAAATTTTTTAAAAAAATGCTTAAAATATTAAAAAAAATCAGTAAAAACAAAAATATATGAAAAACAAAAAAGTGAAATTTTCTGAAAAATATTTTTGCAAAGCCAAAACCAAGCAAGCTGGTCTTCAGTTGGATTGTGTTGTTTGGGCTATGGGGATTTGTCACGGCTCCGTCTCAATGATTGGAGCTATTTAGTTTTTAAATTATCGTATGTCAATTATTTATGAAAAAAAATTAGATCGATTCGATAATTATAATCACGTTAGTTCATGACAAAAATAAACGACAAATAATATTTAAAAACTTGGTCATTTATTTTTTGGAAAACAAATGTAATGAACTAACATGACTATAGTTATTGGATTTACCTGATTTTTTTCATGAATTATTTATATATTGTGATCTAAAAAAAAAAAAAACGATTCAAATCATCTGGACGGAACTATAATAGACTCTACAAATCATAACAATATGATAGGTGAGCCCAAACTATAATATGCAAAACAAACTAATTATTTTAGTATTAATTTTTTTATAGGCTTAATTTTTAGCTAATAAATTAACTTTTTAGTTAACTCTAAAAAAAACTTTAAAAAGTCACATCTAACTATATAAATCATAAATATTTCCCTTATTTTTTAAGGCAAAATACACTTTAGGCATTGCGCTTTGTTCTATGTATGTAAAATAAATTATACTTACCACTCATAATTTTTTTTTAAAAAAAATATAGTTAATCCTATGTTTTTGACATAATTATATTGACTTTGTACAAAATTTTAATTCATGTAATACTAATTTATTTTTCATCAATAACTTTTTCATCATATAAATGAAAAAATAATATTACAATATATTTCATACTAAAATGTTTATTTACCATTATTTATTTCAGTATCTAATTATCATTGGTATTTATTTTGATAGTTTTAATTATATTAAAAGATAAATTAATATGATTATATATTAATTTATTAACTGTATTATAATTAAGATAAATTAATATGATTATATATTAATTTATTAACTGTATTATAATTATATATTAATTTATTAACTGTATTATCTCAAAAGGAAAAACCTCAAAAGAGGTGAGTGTAAAGTCTGCATCAACAGTTGAAGAGTTCATTGTTTGGCTTTTGATACTCTTCTATTTGATTTCGTTGTTGTCTTCCTGAAAAGTTCTACTCTTCACTGCCGGCGAATGATTATACAGTCCATTTTTCATCTGTAAGAGACGGAACAAAATCTCAAAGGTTTTTCTTTCTTCATTTCCTCCTTCAATTAATCATATTTTATTACTCTTATCTTTTTATCATTGTTTGTCATTGCTTCTTATCACAACCCCCCTCCAAAAAAAAAAAAAATCTCTACAATTTTACTTTCTTCCTTCAATTTTATTCTGGGTTCAAGTGTTGCTTACCAGAAAAAAAAAAAAAACTCTGTATCCCCTTTTGATTTTAGAGAGCTTTGTTATCTCCTCCACTTCAACTCTATTAGAACTCTTGTTGAACAATTATCAGAATAATATTTTGTTGTGTGTTCTGTTTTCATTTTACAAAGCTCCCTTTCTTGGTTTCTATTTCTGTTATAGTACAAAAGCTCCTCTTTCTAGTCCCATTATATTACAATATAATTCTCTATATTCAACCCTGCTTGTCAAAAAAAAAAAAAAAAAAATGTATTCCCTTTTGATTTTGTCAAGTGTCATCTAAGTGTTTCTTTCCTGTCTTCATATCCTCTGCAAAAAAAGTATTACTCTCTTTGTTCTGTTTTGATTTGCAAAGCTCAGTTTCCTCATTTCCATTTTGATTGTAGTAGAAATCCCTTTTTGTTGTGTTCTAGTCTTTTACATTTTAAGTTTCACTATCCTTAGAAGAAAACCGTGAGTGAAATGGTCGTGAACTTTGTTCTTCCTGTAGTAATGAAGATTGGAGAATATCTGGTTGCCCCAGTTGGCCGCCAGTTTGGTTATTTGATTTTCTATGACCGAAACATTAAGAATCTGGAGAAGCAGGCCCAAAAGCTGGAAGATAAAAGATTTGGAGTACAAAAATCAGTTGAAGAAGCAGAGGCAAAGAGAGAAACTATTGCACCAGATGTCCAGCGGTGGTTGACAACGGTCAATAAACTCAACGAAGAGGCTAAGAAATTTCTTGTGGATGAAGTGAAAGCAAACAAAGGGTGTCTGAATGGGTGGTGTCCAAACTTGAAGTCACGGTACTCCTTGGGCAGAAAAGCTACAAAGAAAACTCAAAGTGTGGAGGAGTTACTACGTGAAGGAGGAGATTTCTCTAGAGTGGCCTACCCTGCACCTCGTGCAGGGATATCATTCACATCCATTGTAGGTTATAAGGCGTTTGAATCTAGAAGCTCGATTATGAACAATGTTATGGAGGCACTGGCGGATGATGGTATCTATATGATTGGGATATGTGGGATGGGAGGGGTTGGTAAGACAACACTGGTCAAAGAAGTTGCCAAGAAAGCGCAAAAAAAGAGAATGTTCAATAAAATCGTTATGGTAGTAGTGTCTCAAAACCCAGACTTGATTAGTATTCAAGGTCAGATAGCCAAACTATTGGATTTCGAATTGTTTGGGGAAAACAATTTACTTGCCAGAGCGGAGGACTTACGAAGAGGAATACAGAGTAATGGAAAAGTCCTTACAATTTTGGATGATGTTTGGAAGAGACTAGACTTGAATGAAATGGGAATTCCATGTGGGGATAATCACAAGGGTTGCAAAATTGTGATGACTTCAAGGAGGGAAGATGTATGCAACGGCATGGACACACAGAAGAATTTCATGGTTAGTGTCTTACATGAAGAAGAAGGATGGAATCTTTTCAAGGAGATGGCTGGAATTTCTGATGAAGGTACAAGTCACCCAATTGATTTGCAGTTGACGCAGATGGCAGTTGCGAAGGAATGTGGAGGCTTGCCGATTGCTATTGCTACAGTCGGGAGGGCACTTAGATGCAAAAACAAGTATTTATGGGATTCTGCTCTTGAACAATTAGGAAAGTCATTGGTCAAAAACATCAGTGGAGTGGATGAAAAGGTGTTTAAATCTCTAGAGTTGAGTTATGATTTCCTTGATAGTGATGAAGCCAAGAAATGCTTTCTGCTCTGTTCTTTATATCCGGAAGATTTTCATATTCCAATTGAAGATCTCGTTAGATATGTGTTTGGGATAGAGTTGTTTGAGCGCATTGATAGTGTGCACCAAGCAAGAAAGAGAGTACATTCCTTAGTTGATGACTTAAAAAAATGCTATCTATTGATGGAAGGTAAACATGAGTATATGTTGGAGGGAAGTAAAAATGTAGAGTGTATCAAAATGCATGATGTCGTACGTGATGTAGCTATATCAATTGCATCTAGGGAGGAGCATTCGTTTTTGGTGAGATGTGATGAAGTATTGACAGAATGGCCCCAGAAAAGTCGACTCCAAAAAAATACTGTAATTTCATTAAAAGTTAATGGTGTGAACTGCCTTCCTGGTAATTTAGAATTTCCAAATCTCCAGCTTCTACAGCTGGATTGCAATGCTGGATTGCCACCAATCTCATCTTATGATTTCAACCAAAGGATTTTGAATGTCAAAGTACAAGAGACCGAAGATAGTTTTTACCAAGGAATGAAAGAACTTAAAGTGCTAGCTTTATCTGATATGTACGGCTCATTGACATCACTTCGCTGCTTGACCAACCTCCGAACCTTGTCACTTTTTCGTTGCGGACTTATTGATGATGGTATCTCTGTTATCGGAGCATTAGAGAATCTGGAAATTTTGAGGTTTGGCGGCTCTCATATCAAGGAATTGCCAAAAGAAATAATAGGTCAACTTGCTCGCTTGAAGGTACTTGATTTGTTGGGATGTGTAGTGGAAAGGATTTACCCAGGGGTTTTGTCAAGCTTATCAAAGCTAGAAGAGTTGTATGTTGGGTCTATCTTTCAAAGTTGGTGTCAAGTTGAAGAAAGCAAAGAAGGTGCTAAAGCAATTATTGATGAGCTGGCGTCCTTGTCCAATTTGGTGGCTTTGGATATTGCTCTAGTAAACTTTTCCTTCAGTTCGAGAGGTTTGGTCATTGAGAAGTTAAAAAAGTTCAATATAGGTGTTGGCATTTTCTTTTATCACTACATCCCTTGTTATTCTTTGTTATCAAATCAGTTGGAGCTTGATGTTGAAAACATGAGTGACATTATTGAAACAAGGCTTAATTTTCTGTTGAAGAGCACTGAAATTCTGACTTTAAAGTCAAGGGTAAAAGGTTTGAAAATTCTCTGTGATTTGGTCGGCGAAGATGGTTTTGAATGCTTAACGAATTTGAGACTATATAAGTTGTATGATTTGGAATACCTCATCAATACAGCAGATGGGGTTCCGCAGAGTGCTTTACCTGTGTTAGAGATTCTGGATCTTCATTGTCTACGGACTTTCAAAGGGATTACTAGTCATGAATGCCGACTACCGAACAAGGCTTTCGGTGCATTGAAAGTGTTGACACTAGTTATGCTGCCTGAACTGACAAATTTGTGGAAGGGTCCCACCCAGCTTGTATGGCTCGGCAACTTGACGTCGGTAAAAGTGCTGGGTTGTCATAAACTGGAAAGTATGTTCTCACTTTCCATAGCTAGAGATCTAGTGCAACTGCAGGACCTTGGGATAGGTGATTGTCGTGTGATGAAAGAAATTGTTTCGAGTGAAGGAGTGGAGCATGAAATGGCAGCAATAGCAACAGATAAAATCGAGTTTCCTAAACTAAAGAAATTGAGTCTTGATTGCCTGCGACATTTTACTGGTATCTGCAAAGCTATGAATGCAATTGAGCTGCCACAACTGAGTTCCTTGACACTGTCGAATGTGGCAAAGCTGAAGCGTCTCTGTCCTGCTTCAGATTCAGAGAGTAATTGTGATCCCATCATTCAACCCCTCTTCAACGACAAGGTATGCTTTTCTTATTTAAGAGCTTAATTAATTGCTAATTTGTGAACCACTTTTCATTTTATTTACTATTACATCCCTATTTGAGTTTTAAATTTTTTTATAATTGGGTAATAAGATCGTCTGCGTCACTTTATGCCATATTCAATATAAATTGTGTGTTTACATACATATTTGTGTTTATATATCTTTATTCATACCAAATAAAAATAAATAAAATTTATCATCAGAATTACTATGCATAAAATTCATACAAAATAATGTGATAATTGTATTTTTACAATCTTGAACCACAATGGCGGGCTTTGCATTGAAGTGAGAGGATCATATAAGGCCATGTTGTACTATGTATGGAAAATTTTATTTTTAAAAACAAAAAATTAGCTTCGGACACTAAGTGCCATTGGATCGGGTTACATTTGTAGAAAAAATAATTAACAAATAGTATAACTTTCAAATGTAGTCAATCAAATTTTTTTAGACATATGAGATCTAAATAATTAAATTTTTGGTATGAATGATTTTTTAGGAGGGTCATACAAAATGAATGGTTCGGATCCCTACAACAAATGAACAGTGCAGTTTGCATCACTATTACAACAAATGAATGGTTTGGATCACTACAAAAATTTTTAGAGAGAAAAATTTAGAAACAAAATATTTTAGTTGCCAAAAAATTCATTGTTTTATTTTTAGCAATGAAACTAGACATTTAATAATAAATTGCTACCTTTTTGGAACAATTTTTTTGTCAAAAAATAAACCATTTTAACACCAAATTATTTTATTTCTAAAAATACATTAACCAGTGATATTTTAAAATTTTATCACCAGCCGTCATTTTTTTACTTTCTCGGACCATCTTTTCTTACCGATTGAATTTGCAGCCCAATATTTTTTTTGTAATAATATATTTTCACTTTTGAGGATAAAAATATTTGGTTGAAATTTGAATCTTAATATTTTTTGTCAACCCACCAAGCTCAACAACTCCATAATAAGGAGGAAGAAATAAATCAATTATCATAAAAGTATCAAATTGCTCTCTATAAGAATTGAGTTCGAAACTTTACACCATGAAAAGTGTTACATAATTATTAAGTCAATTTTTTTGCTGATCAATTTAAAAATGATATATTTGAGTAGTTTCAATTTTAAAATATTTACTCAAAATATCTTTTTAACTTTGGTAAACTAACTTAATTGTTCATTCATTTTGTCTGGATCATAAATGAATAAATAGAGATTTAATTAAACATTATAAATTTAATGTAAACTGGGTTTTAATTTATTTTGTTCTAATAATAACTTGAGATATTGAACTTTATAAAATAATAAGAGGAAATACTATGGAGCACACTCTTTAAAGGGTGTGCATTTTATAACTAAAAAGAAAAATGATATAATTTTATATTTTATGAGTCATAACTAAAAAATAAAATAAAATCATAACTAAACCCAACATGAGACATAACTAAAATAATATCATAACTTAATAAAAAATTGGTTAAAACTAAAAATGACATAACTAAGGGTATATATGATACACCCTTTTAAAGGGGGTGTATATTAGAATTTTCCAATAAATGAAGTGTAAACTGGGTTATGTAGGCTACAATTAAGTTAGCATCTACGCAATTTTTTAGTCAATCACTATATATATAGTCAATGTAATTATATAAGGAAAGATTTAGGGCAAATTATATTTGTAGTTTTTGTATTTTAGTCTTTTTGACATTTTAGTTCTTATAATTTTAATTAGCTCGATTTAGGGCCGGTCAACAGTTGCCTCGGCCTCCAAATTTTGATAAAATTTAGGGCTCGGAATAAGTATCATGTGGTTTTATTTTAAATTTATGTCATAATTACTTCAATACTAATTTAATCTATTTATTTTTTTATTTTATTGTATCAGGTCATTTTTGGTTTGTGTCTATTTAATGTTTCATGTTAAAACTTTCACATAGTTAAAAGTACGGAGTGTATGGAGAAATTAATTTTTTTTTTTTGCAAGTTAAATTTTATGAAACTAATCTCTACTAAATAAAATTATTCATAAAACATTTGATTTCAACTCAATTATATTTCCTTATTTAAAAAAAAAATATAACATATAATTATTCTATATTTTTTAATCTAAAATATGTAACGAACAATTCATATCTTAAATGAAAAAAATTATAACATATAATTATATATATTAATAGAATGAATCTAAAATATGTAACAAAAAATACATATCTTAAATGAAAAAAAAAAAAAAATCATATTAGTCTAATTTTTTAATTTTGTGTAAGGTTTAAGTTATATGGAAAATCATCACCTAGCCCTAACTATTTTAGGAAACTGAAAAATAAGAATTTAATTCAATTAATCTAAGTTCACAATCAAAACTGAAAGGTCATAGTAAATTATGAATGCTTATTAGTTCTATATTTAAAAAGGGTCTAGCTTCCCTCCCATCCGTGATCGGACTAGAGACTGTTGTTGGGTTCGTGGAGACTCACCATGGGTCTCGTTCGATAATCTGAACCGTTCAATATGTAGAACTCATCAACTATTATATGTCTGTAAAAAATCACGTTGATTGGATATTGATAGCTATCTCATTGGATCAGATTTTTGTTAGCCGTTTATTTTTTCACTGAAAATTTTTTATATACAAAGCTGATTTGATCATGTAGTTATCGAAATCTGATCAACGTGATTTTTTGCAAGTATATAGTACTCGACAAGTTTTATACATTGAATGATTCAGATTATCAAAACGGGACCCGTGGCAGGCCTCCACGGGCCCAACAACATCCTCCAGTTCGATCACAAACTGGAGAGAAGCCATACTCATTTAAAAATACAATAAAAGTACTATTTGATTAATACTTTTCCATAATTGTTTAAAATTTATTTTGTATTATAAGTTTACTATTTTTTTTCTTTTGTTGTAATCTAGATTTGTTAAATCATAAAGCAGTAAGACTACATTTTTATGTTTTTTTGTTATTGTAATGATTCTTCATATCTTGAAATATAAATAAATTTTAGTGGTGTTATTTATAACTCATTAGTGTGATGTTTGTTATGACTTGGTTATACACATTGTCATATTAATTATGACATTGTTTTGGCTATGATTTAAAATGTGTTTAGTTACGATTATTATTTTTTTTTTCTGTTTTTTTAATAGTTATAACTGAGAAATAATAAGTTATGACATTTGTGGTAATCAACCCCACAAATGTCATACCTTGCAAATAGTTTACACTTTTGAGGGTGCATACAATAGTATGACGTGCACCTTCTGAAACGACATATGATATGCAACTATTGTGGATTCATATTGTGTCGCATAATAAAAAGTGACTTGTTAAACCAGCCATCCAATAGGTTACATAAAAGAATCATAAATTTTTCCAAATATCATAACAATTACAATGAATTATAATAATGTCATAATACATACAACTGTGTCATAACAAAGATACTATCAATCATAACAATACAATAATGACTCATAACAAATATAATTATTTCTAACAAATTATCATAACATTTTTTTTTATTATGATTTATCATAACAAATCATAACTTTTACTAATAAATCATAACCATGGCACGCTGATTATAACTTTTTCTCTAAAATCATAACAATATTCACAAAATATCACAACTTTTAAAATTTCAAACACAATTGTGTAATCAATTGTATAACATATAACACAAATATCATGACACTGGCCTAACTTTTGTCATTATAGCACAAGTAATTGTTTATTCAATTGGCATGAAAGAGTGAATGGAAAATCATAATTGATTGCACAATCGGTTGGGCTGAAAGACCACAATTGATCGTACAATCGATTAGTAGCCACTGTAAATGAAAGGTGGATTGAACAATCACAATTGAATGTACAATCGATTGGTATGGGTTTATATTATTGTTATTTAATCGATTGTACCATTCATTAGAATAAGAGAGATTCAATGATCACAATTGATTGTACAATCGATTGTGAGTTTTTGGAGAGAGAGTCTTTAGTAAAGAAAATTATAACCGGTTGAGAAGGTCCTCAAGTTTTCTAAATTATTTAATGGTTCAAATTAAATTTCTTGATATCTATTGGTTATTGGTTAAAAAGTAAGGTGTGCATGAGGTGCACATGATGTGCACATTTTGATGATTTACACACCCTAACAGTTCCCATGAATTTATAACAAAAAATATCAATCAATATGTATGACAAAGGTCAATCTAATAAGTAGTTCTGAAGATTAATCTAACCACGCTAGTGATTTGCTAAACAAAAGTTAACACCTACAATTCATAAAATAGAGACTTGAACTAACTGTTCAATGAGACTTCAGGGATTGTACGAATTCAATATGGGATTTTCTATTAAAAAACCCTACTTAGGCTTCGTTTGGGAAGCCAAAAGTCAGGTTTTTTTTTGGCTATTTTAGTCACAAAAAATAAAATAGACTTTTTAGTCCAATAAGATAAAACATCACATCCAACTCATAATCATTACATTCTTTCTCTTACAAAAAAGTTAAAAAAGCCAAAAACCCTGCCCAAACTAGGCTTTTTAGCCCTAGGCTAAAATAGTCAAAAAAGTTAAAAAGTCAACCCACTTCCCAAACGAATCCTTACAAAATCTGAATTTGATAAAGCTTTTTACAATGTTCTTAAAATTATTATTATGAATTAAGGCTAATCCATATAGATTTGAAAAACATTGATAAAAAAAAACTATAAGTTAATACACTTTTAATTTTTAAGGTAAATCAACTTTGTGCCCTGATGTAACGCCCCAAAATAATTCAATATGAACTACCCACATGAGTTAGCAGTCCCACATCAATTACAGTAATCCTTCCATCTTGTATAAATAATAAATGAGTATATACAAAAGTTTCACATGCAGATATACATTCAATGATAAAGGAACACATGAATCTATAGCATGTGAAGCATCTAGTCTCGAAAACAATAAAATGCCCTTAAGGGCTTACATCTTCCAAGGCAATAGCCCGGTTACACAAAATGGTCTCTCGGACCCAAACACATTAGCCCTTGACTTACAAAAAAAAAAAAAAATACCACAACAAAAATAAGAGCAAGACTACTCTTCACCAAAACATATCCACGCCCTTAGCTTGGCGGGATCACCACGTCCTTACCTGCACCAAATCCCATAGGGGTGAGCATAAAGCTCAGTAGAGTAACCTTAATAAAGTATATATATTTATGTGAGATACCAATATTTATTGCAATGCGGTGCCATACTATGCCATTTTCAAAATAATCATATGCCATGCTTTCAACAACATTTTCAATCTCATTAATTTCCCAACTTCAAATTTTTAATCATAAGGGGTGGTAAATACGACACTGGTAATCTTTAGGCTGGTGCCTGCAAGTAGACTTTACAAGTACTACCAAATTGTTATTTTTACAGGTATTAACCGGAAGGCTCGATACCTATCCACGCGATTTTCTGGTCTTTCACCATGGACTCTCAAGCCAACTTATCAAATCATCTACACACCCTATCCGGACTTACCACCGTATTTACTCCATAAACATTTCCATTAGTTCTCATCATAACATAACCTTTCTCAAAGTAAACAATCTTCCGATTTATTTAAAAGGTACATCAATGATAATAAATTAAATGAGAACATGATGCAACGCAAGACATCTCATAACATTTCTTCATTTTCTCTTTTCAATGTTTTCCACAAGGTAATCATATATCATCCTCACGCCATTACAATTTTCTCATTTCACAAGCCTTCACAATGTAGTCATTTCAAGACTTCATGTAGTGTTTTCAAACCTTAATTCCCCAATGTTCATAATTTTCACGAACTCATAGTGTACACAATATACCATTTTACAACCATGTGTCCTCATATAATTTGCAATAATTTCCAACACATATTCCTCATTTCTAATACAAATAATTTTGGTCATCATTTTGTAAAAATAATATCATGAAATCATCACATAACCATTCCTATATCACAAGAAGAATACTCACTATAGACATTTCCATACATTTCAAAATACCCCAAATTTCTAGGGTTTTTCACAAAACTCAAACATTTATCATTTCTTTCACAAAGCCTTTTCATACTCTTCCATCTCAACCCATTTTGCCCAAAGCTTCAAGGAATTTTAGAAAAATACACATGATAGAGTTTTATTCCATAAATTCATTAATTTTTTTGAACCCTAAACCCATTTTCGAAATGGCCTAGAGGAGTTTACAAAATAAACCCAAAACTTACATATATATATATATATATGACTCAAAGGAAGACTCTACCTCAAAGTTTGGTGAAGAGAGAGAAAGAAACCCTAGCTTCAAAGATGAGAAGGAGCCTTGATTTCCACCACACCAAGATGAGCCCTAACATGAATATTGTAAGAATCAAGGGGTTTTAATGTTTGAGGATGTTTTCTAGAGAGAAGGAGAGAAGTCAAGTTTAGAGTGAGAGGAAAATGCCCTAAAATGAGATACACACTCGGCCAAAAAGAGAAGAAAAACAGGGATTCGGACTGCCCCGACTGCCGCACGTGCATCGCACCTCCCCGCATGTGCGGGGCTCCTCTCCTGCACCTTAGCCGCTTGTGCATTTTAAGCAGAAGCTAGCCAAACAATCCCCTGAATTCTGCACGTGCAGCCTTGCCTCTTGCACGTGTGGCCCTGGGCCCCCGCACGTGCGGCCCCCGCTTTCCAACCCAGATTTTTCTGACTTGATTCCTGGGCGTCCCGGACTCGACCGTGCCCACTCCGGAATGGATGAAATTAAACCCCCAAACCAAAAACAAGAATGAGAACTTATTCAAAACAAATAGCTTCCAAACATTTTTAAATCCAACAAAAGCAAAGGGAAAAGGAATGGAGGAAGAAAGGAAGGGGAAAAAAAGGACCCGATCATCACACCTGAAGTATTACCAATTCATTTTTTGGCCCTAAACTTTATTTCCCAATTTACTCCTTACACCAGTGAATTTTTTTAGTGTGGTGTCTTTGGAAGATTCTACTTTTAATACAAATTAAAATTAAAAATTGATATTATTGATAACGAAAATGCATGTCACGTAATTTTGAAATCATTAAAGAAAAATGGTAAATTTAATATAAAATAGGACAAATTACGACAGTAATCTCTGTATTTTACTCCTTGTGTCATTTTAATTTTTGTACTTTCAATTAGTTCGATTTTGATCCTGAATTTATGATTTTGTTTAAATTAATTATTATTCTTAGCATTTTTTTTTTAATGGAAAACACACATAAGAGTCATGTGCCATATTTTAAATTGAAATAAAATTTAAAATTAAGGGTCGAAATTGAGCCAATTGAAAGTATAGGGATCAAAATGACACAAGGGATAAAATATAGGGACCACCGGTATAATTTTCCTTATAATATATTTTCAAGAAGAATTTTATTATACACACCCCATACCATATGTACCCTTAGTTACACCATTTTCTTCTTTGGTTATGACCAATTTTCTTCTTTGGTTATGACATTATTTTGAGATTTTGGTTATGATTTTTTTTTTATTTTAATTACGACTCAGAAAATATGAAATTATGTCATTTTTTTCTATTGTTATAAAGTGCATATGGTATACACCCCTCAAAGGTTGTGTATTGTAGTCTTTTCCTATTTTCAAAGTTAACATAAATTAGAAAAGACATGTGAAATAAGTTTTTAGTCAAATTTATAGATATACACATAGATATAAAATTTTGGTAAGATTGAGATTGTAGTAAAAGCAGATCATAGTGCTAATAGAATCGGAATTATAATGTGATTCTATACGATTTTATAACTATAATTATAGTCACTTCAAGATCTTAGGCCTCTTTTGGAAATTGTCAAAAAAGTCAGGTTATTGACATATTTGTGTTATATCATTTTTTAAATTTTTTCATGTCTTTTCGTAATAAATAAAAAAGTAAATTAAGATTATATTGTGATTCGAATCATTTGACCCAACTAAAATTGTAAAATCATAAGATCTTACCATCTAAATTAAGATTCTGATAACCATGAAAAAAATCCTTGTACCTCATTTATCTACTGATTGATTCGACACCCCATCACCTTGAATTTAATGTGTATTTTTATGTTTGGAAAATTTATGAATCTGTGGTGTATTAGATTTTGATGGATTAAGAATCTAGATTAAGGCCCTATTTGGAAAATTGAATTTGGATTAAAATAGTTAATAAAGATAAAATAGACTAAAATAGTCAATAAGACAAAATGTCACATCCGAACCATAATCATTTCATTTTTTTCTCACAACTATCAAATCAGTTACAAAAAAAAAAAAAAGCCAATTATTTTCCTAAACATAACTTTTTTAGACATGAAATAGTAAAAAAGCCAACTAAAATAACTTATTCCCAAACAGGGCCTAAGCCTCTCAGTATACCAAAAATAAATTTAATGTGTATTTTTATATTTGGAAAATTCAAGAATCTAAAAAAATGGGTTAGGTTTCTTAGGTCAATGATCTAAAAATGTATTTCAATAGATTTGTAAGAACTGTTTACATTTAATTATTCAAATATGAAGTATATTAATTTGAAAACTAAATGGATGATGTTTAATGGACTCAAGTTTTTGTGCTTAGTTATGTTTGTAACACCATGTGAATGAACTCACAGGATAAATTGGCTACCATTGAAGAATTGACCATCTCCGGCATGGAGAATCTGATGGTAATTTGGCCTAGGGAACTTGAAGCTAAACTAAGAAAGATGACAGTTAAATGTTGTCATGGGCACACAAATATTATTTTTCCATCCAATTCAATTAAGGGCATGCAAAATCTTGAAGTACTTGAAGTGGAGGACTGTCCATCTATTGGAGTAGCCTTTGACCTTGAAGGACTTGTTTGGGAAGACGGCATATCATATAAGGCACTCCCTTCATTAAAAAAGGTGGAATTAAGCCATCTACGAAAGTTGACACATGTTTGGAAGGACAATTCACCAGGAATTCAAGGCTTTCAGAATCTAAGATTCTTAATAGTAAATGATTGTGATAGTTTGAGAAATCTATTCTCATACTCTCTAACCAAACTTCTTGTAAAACTACAAGAAATAGAGGTAACTGAATGTGGTATGATGGAATCAATCATTGGAAATGAACCAAATGCAGATGATGCAGCCATGTTCCCTCAACTAAGTAGTCTCAAACTCATAAATTTGCCAAACCTGAGTAGTTTCTGCTCTGAGGCCTGTACGTTTGAGGGATCATTGTTGAAAACAATAGAAGTAATCAACTGTCCCAAAATGAAGATACTCCCATCAGCATTTCAGCGCAAGCTAGAGCAACAACAAAAGGCAGACTTTTCAACCTCGTCTCAATCCCATCTCTTGGATGGAAAGGTACGTTAATTAACTTTAAAATATAGCATTCACCGTTAATTAATTATCAATTCCTGCAAAGAAAAATGGATAGCAAATGTGTGTTTTTGAAAATAGACCAACGATTTTTTTTAGATGACAAATATGACAAATTGAACATATTACAATTATCAGATCGAGATAATTTTTTGTTTGGAAGATTTACGCAAAGGGCTCTATAAAATAAACAATTCAGATATTTCGATAATCTAAATCATTTATTTTGTGAGATTTGTGCATAAATTATCAATTAAAAAATCATATTGATATGATAATCATAATATTGTAATTTTATCATATTTATGTTCAAAAAAAAAAAAAAATGGAAGATCGTCCAGTTTTTTGAATCCATTTTTTTGAAGACAAAGATGATAAAATCATATTGTTTTAATTATCGAATTAATATGATTAGTTTATTATTATTATATTTTATGATCTATACACAAAGCCTTTCATAAAAAAAAAAATTTTAATTAGCAAATGGGAGTTGTGATAATCGTACGCCCCTACCCTACCTAGCCCAACCACTCTTCCATATATTTTAACAAAGATTTATTAGGTAAACAAATTTGTAAACATCAATTCTTGGAGTTCTCCATTCTAGTTTATTGCTGAACAATAAATGGACAAATAGATGGACATGTGTACAAAATGACAGATTTGTGAATAAATAGATAGATAGGTAAATGTTATATGATATTTGAAATTGTTGTTATCATTATGGATAATATATATATATATAATTTTAGACAATTGCCCCCAAAATTTTAATTTTAAATTTAAATGATTAACCCGAGTGTTCTTTTTTAAACTAATATATATTTTGATAATATATGAGATGATAAATTGTGTTAATTCCCCACCATGAGTTGATCATAACTCCCACTTGATTTGAACAGTTTGAGATGTCCAATTAGTCAATCAATACCCATCTAGTTCAATTTTGTTCACATATTTTTTTGAATATACACATATTTTAATTGATGCAGAATAATAAAACTAATTATTTTGGATGGAGTCATTATACTTTTTAGATATGGGATTTACATATTAAAGGAATCCTATTTTGTGTATTTTTTTTATTGTATAAACAAATTCATTTTCATGCCATGCACTCCTTAATTTGTGTTAATTTTGTCTAATGTATAAAATGTGTCCTATCGTATTTCTGTCAGAGGCCATTTGCCTTGTTTGTCAAAATTATGACAAGTTGTGAAGATCATCCTTATAAAAAATTAAATTAATTTGAATACTATAATTACATTATTATATTACATTTATTTTCAAAATAAAAAAAGTATATAATAAAATTATAATTGTTGTCCATTTCTATATGACAAATGTGATCTAATCATGTAATTATAGTTATCTAAACAATCTGATTGATTTTCTTGATAGTTCTTCGATATGATTGGCTCAGATCATTGAGGTTGGCTTCGTGATAGCCTAGAAGGCCAACAACACCTCCAATTACATGTGCCAACTGAATAAAAACATTATTCTAATTTGATATATTATTAAAGATTTTTAAGTCTCTTAAATCTCACTGATTTATCCCTACTCAAATTCGCCAATCAAAGCACGTAATTTATTTATTTTTTAATGTTCTAAAGTCCATAATTTTATATTGGTACTCGTGATATTGTGACAATATGACTTTTTGGATCTTGTTTCTTAATGAGTGGAGCCTTCTCAGACAATAAAAAAAAAACTATATAAATCTTAACTATGATATTTAAAAAAACATAAAAAAAGATTTATTAATAAATTTTGGGTTAATTTTAAAAAAAATCTTAAGGTTTTATGCATTTTTCACTTTAAACCCTAATGTTTCAATTTCGACAAATTAAATCCTGATGTTTCATCTGTATTTCAATTGCCTCCTTTGTCCGTCTCCGTCTATGTAAGGTAACAGTTGGAGTTTAAAGTGAAAAATATTGGGGTTTAAAATGAAAAATATGTGAAACTTTGCAGTTTATTTTGTAATTAAACCTTTTTTGTTTTTAATGATTTTAATTTTAAAAAAATGGTTAAATACACAAAAAAAAAACCCAAGACTTCATGTATTTTTCACTTTAAACTCAATATTTTCACTTTAAACCTCCTTCGTTACCTTACACAGACGGAGATAGACAAATGGTGCAAATTGAAACATGGATGAAATTCTAAGGTTTAATTTATCAAAATTGAAACACTGAAATTTAAAGTGAAAAATGTGTGAAATCTTGAGTTTTTTTTTTTTTTTAATTAACCCATAAAACTTTTATATATACAACTTATAAAAAATTAGGTGCGAGTAGCAAAATTTAGGGACTACTATGTAATTTTTCCTTTTTTATAATACTTGCAAAGTGAGATGGTAACTGTCTAACAGGTGTTAGGGAAGAGAGTTGGATGTGTAAAATTTAAATAGAAAATGCAATTTCTCTATTTAATTTTTGGCTTGAAGCACTGCTTTACTACAATTTTTCTTGATGATAGACTACTGTATTTTAAAATTCATTTTCAGATTTCATACAAGCTCTTGTACCATATTGAGTCTGACTATTCTATTTTAAGGTTTGTTTGGTTCATGAATTTGGACATAGATTTGAAAATAGAAAAAAAGAAAAAAAAAATGTGTGTGAGATTTAGGTAAAATATAATTATATTTCACTCACATTTTATTTATATTTCTTTTTTCCTTTTCAAATTTCTCCTCAAATTCATGAACCAAACACAACATAAGACAATTTGGATGCTGCTGTTTTTCATTAATTAAATTCCATGCACAAAACAAGTTGTGTCCTAAGTTTAAACCCTTCATTTTCCTTGGCTATTGTTCAAATACTAAGGTTGTATTTTGAATCATGGATTTAGGTAGGAATTTTGAAATAGAAAAGGAAAAAGGTAAGGACAATGTGAATAAAGCATAAATTAATTTTTTCTTTTTATTTTCCTTTTCAAATTCCTATCAAAATGTATAATCCAAATACAGTGTAAAAGATACTAATGATTTAATCTTTTAAATGTTGATTTTTTTTTTTTTTTAATCAGCAAAAGAAAATTTATTGTTGGGTATCTTACATTATGCAAGTATTTTATAGGGCAGAAAATATCATTTTGTCTCTAAATTATCACTCAAAAATTATTTTTACTTTTATTCTTTTAATAATATCAATTGATTTTGAATCAATTTTACTGCCACCGTTAATTGCCGTCTATGATCAAAATGAAAATTAAAGTTACTGATATGACACTAAACCTTCATTTAAAATTTCATTTTATTTCCATACTTTCCCCCGAAACTCTTGAATAAAAGGAAGTTTTGGGTAAAACAATTATGTCACTAACAATAACACAGTTAAGTTTAATGGACTTGCAGTTTATTTTCAGTGACGGGTCTGTGGGCCGCTTTAGAAAACTTTCTATCACACACTTAAATGGATCAATAGAGATGTGGCACAACCAACTTGAAGTTGACCAACTTCACGAAGTGACATTCATGTTGGTCCAATTTTGCGGGAAATTATCAAATGTGTTCTCGTGGAATTTAATACGAAGACTACGACAGCTACACCGGCTGAAGGTATGGTGGAGTGATTCACTGGAAACAATATTTGACCTCCAAGGGTCAGTACTCGCTGGATCATCAATAATTTGGTTAAGAGATATGAAATTGATGTATTTGCCCAAGTTGACGCATATATGGAAGAATGTTTCCCAAAAAACTCATTGTTTCAAATATCTAAATTCCCTAGAAGTGGAGAGGTGTGATAACCTGAGATATATATTCACAATTTCCATGGTCAAAGTCCTTGTGAATCTAAATTATGTAGGAATTGGAAATTGCGAGAAAATAGAAAAGATTGTTACCAGGGAAGAAGAAGAAGAAGAAGATGAAGAAGAAGAAGGTGATGATGAAAGGGGCAAAATCAGTATTTTCAGTGTGGAACTTGAAAATCTTCCGAATCTTGTGTGTATTGGAATTCCAGAATCACAAATTCATATTTCCAAATTGCGTGTAGATTTCTGCCCCAAGTATCGAGGTAACCAATTATGCTTCTACGCAAATATGCTTCTTTTGTTCTAGTTAGTTTTCCAAATAAAATTCTCTCAAGAAAGCAACTTCACTACCCTATATACCTGCCACAACGGCATTTCCCAAAATGCGAGTGGTTTAAGGAAGAAAGTTCTTTCCAGCATTTTCTTCATCTATTCATCGTAAAATAGTTGATCCAAAAGTCACAATTGGTGATAATCGTTAATTGTTGAATTGTTGGATGGAAAAAAAAGTGCTAGAGAGAATTCAAATATGAAATTTAACTGTTGTCATCCATGGTTCAGTTACAGCCTATTTTGGAAAGTAGGTTAAAAATCAACGTTTTAATTTTTTTAGCTTTTTTAACTCACACAATCTCTTTACTTTTATTAAACATTTTTTCAAAAAAAATTAAAAATTAAAAAATTGACTTTTAACCTACATCCAATCAGACCTTCTGGCTTTATTTACCATAAAACATGTGATGATTGAAGCTAGCACCTTGAGAAACCACTCTCATTTTGTTTTTCCTATAACTCAAGAAAGTGACTTCATTGCACTGTACTTGCCACCTAGTTATCTAAAATAATAATAACAATAACGACAAATTATGCTAGTAGTTCCAATATTTTTGATCTTTATATCATTTTTATCCTTATAATTTTATTTAACTTGATTTTAACTCTAAATTTATAATTTTTTTTCTCAATTTAGTCTAATTGTTTATAATTGTTGGTATTTTAATAAAAAATACACATATAAGTGACGCATGTCATGCTTTTAGAGTCAAAATTATATATTTACTCAACTTAGTGAGTTAATTTCAAGTAATTTAATGATCAATTTTTGTCAAAAATATTAATGCCGTTATCAATTGGATTGAACTGACGGAAAATCTAAAATTAAGGAAAGTCAATTGAATGTGTAGAGATCAAAATAATATAAACTGCAAAATATAAAGACTACTAGTGTCATTTGCTCTAACAATAATAAGAAAATGCTACATATAATTATATTTTTAATTTTCTTATTTTCTCATACACAAATAAATGGTTGTATATGTATTTACGAATATGAATTCCAATTTTTATTTATTTATTTATTTATTTATTTTGTGTCTAGAAATGATAAAAAGAGGTAAAAAATAAAATTACATATAACATTGCTCTAATAATAATAATAATAATAATAATAATGTCTCCAAAAATACCAATCCTTAATAAACTCTGTGCATGTTCTTAATCTTAAGATATTATTATTGTCTCCAACAAATGGTATAATTTCTGAAATTAATAGTATATCCTCCAGCTTTTGAGCATTGTCTATACACCAATTTCTTAACAACGTGATAGTCACTAATATAGTATTGGTTAGCAATAATATTCATTAACTTATGCTCTGTTTAGATATTTGAAGAGGGATTTGAAAATAAAAAGTGAAAAAAAATTAATTTATATTTCATTCATATTATTTTTACGTTTTCCATTTTTTATTTTTCTTTTCAAATCTTTATCTGAATTTATGATCCAAACACAAATTATAGTTTTAAGTAGGAATTTGAAAAGAAAAAAGAAAAGAAAAAAGTGAGTCAAATGTGAATGAAAATATAGGTTAAATTTTTTCTCTATTTCCATTTACCTTTTTCATTTTCTCTTTATCCAAATTTATGATGCAAATACAAGGCAAATGTATGTACTTGGTTATCTCTGTCTCTTTTTTTTTTTTTTTTTTTTTTTTTTTTTTTTTTTTTTCAGTAATTGACAGAAGATTAATTAAAAATTACAAATGTATCTATCTATACGATTATATAAACAAAAATTTGACGTGGTGATTGACTCTCTAAGTCTCAATCTATTTTTAAAAAGTTGTGTGGTTAGATAAAAAAATTTTCTTCTTTATATTGTGTCAAAAGTGATTGTTTAAATGACCTAATAGCTAAGTCATTCTCATAAATGATGTTAGATAGGAGAGGTGGTGTTGATTATTAGCTATATATACTTTTAGTTTTAGTGATCATTTGATACTTTGCCACATGCAGGTTATGATGTGGAAGAGGAGTAATATTTACTATTGGCTGTGGTGCATCGCCAATCTCTTCATAGAAAAGGTATGCATTATTGCTATACACACAAAATAAAAATAAAAATATTAATAATAATAAAGTAAAAGTAAAAAAAATATTACACCAAATGCCTCTTCATCCTGTTGATGAACATACTGTGGGTTTATCTGATTATGCTCATATCTTTAAATTTTTAGTATATATATTTATATTTGGTTTGAGGCCTTCCAAATAATATTTTTTTGGACAAATTATACTAATAGTCCTTATATTTTAGTTTTTGTGTCATTTTGATCCTTATAATTTCAAGTCATTTGATTTTTACCTGCAATTTATGATTTTGTCATAATTTGGTCCAATTGATTATAATTGCTAGCATTTTTTTAAAAAATAAAAAATGCGCACATGAAAGACATGTGCCTTGCTTTTATGGTGAGATTGTAAACTAGATTAACTCAGTAAGTTAACCTTAACTAACTCAGTGATAATTCTCAGTTAAAAAAATCCTAATGATGTACGTTATCAATTGAACCAAATTGACCCAAAATAAAAAATTAAGAATTAAAATTGAGCCAATTAAAAGTGTAATCAAAATGATCCAAGGGGTAGAATGCAAAGATTATCAGTACAATTCACCTTATTTTCATTTAAGAACTACACTGCTAAACCGTTTCATTGTGTGAAGTAAAGAGCAGTATTTTCTATTCTTCGGTGGTTTACAGAATTCCTTTGTGTGAATTAGAGAAATAGGATTTTTTTTTTTAGTAAAGAAAAATGTTGTAGTAAATAGAGAAATTTCCTCTGCAGTTTGTCCAATTCTCCCAAAATTGCTTGGGGGATCCTGAACAAGGATAAATTAGTAGACTTAGATTGGCCAAAGTTTAGACAGAATCTATCAATTTTTATTTGCATATATTGCAATTTTCATGTTACTATATACAGAATTCATTTCATTGGCCAGGTACATTCAAAATAAACTGATCTTATATCAGATACAAGAGTTTATTATTATTCTCTAATTTAATGTAAGTTTATCTTGTTCAAATTATGATGATTTAATTATCACAAATAATTCTTAACTAATATGTTTGTACTAGTTTTTTTTTTCCTTCCCCGACATCCTACCATCACCACCACCACCACTACAGCACACCATGACTATTAGTAACCGTTATTTCAGAGTTCTAACTAAATATTGGAAAATATTTTCTATGTATTATTTTCTAACCATGTCTTTTTTTTTTTTATAAAAAAATAATCTTTTTCACATAAAATATTTTACCGAAACAAACGGAGCATAAATCTATAAATTAAATACATTTATGGACAGTACAAACATATTAATCTGAAATTGTGTCAAGATGAAATCTTAATCAATGGCGTTTCATATTTATATAAAATCAGGTGTGACCATTGGTTCAATAGTTAAGACTTGAACACACAACCTTGGGACCACCACTTTGTGCATTATGCCAAAGGTTATGTGTATACTTAATCATTCTCTTCCCAAACACACATTAATGTGTACTAATTAGGCAATTTTTTTTTTATACACATAAAATCATTGAGAGTAAACTCTTTATTACTAATTCAGTAAAATATGGGCTTGTTTGGTTTGTGTTTGTAGAGTAATTTTTGAGATAAAAAGTATGAAAACTTGTTTGGTTTGCCTTTTTTCAGAAATGGTTTTGGAAAATTGTTTTGGAAAGAGAGTTTTAAAAAAAGTGATTGATTTGATGTGTATAAGAGAGAGTGATTTTGAAAAGTAGGTAACCAAACAAAATTTTGAGATTTTTTTTGAAAAAATTTGTTTGGTTTGATTACTTTTGAAAATTTGTTGGTAGAGAATTTTTCCCAAAAATTTTTCCCAAAAACAAACCAAACATTTAAAAGCAATGCCAATTGAGTCCCAAAGAAATGGGTAAAAAGTCACTTGGATGAGTTCAGTTTATTTAGATCAAATGACAGTCGAGTTTTTTCATACCGGAATTTCATCTTAGGTTCAGTGACTCATTAGGTTACATTTCTGAAGAAATGACAATCCATTGCTGTAAATCTAATTTTAAAGTGCCATAGGTAGGTATTGTTCTCAATAGAAACTTTTGTATGAATAATTATTTGCTAAAACAATTTTCTTTCCAAACTACCTTAAATAGAAACATTGTACAATGAATGGGCTTCTCAACAGTTGGCCTTTTGGATTGTACAGTTGAGTTAGATTTGTGAAGTCAACCACACATTCCACTATGAGGATTTGAACCTCTCATTTTATATAAAAATTCAAATTCATTTGATAATTGTAACAACATTATTTTATCATCTTTGCTTTCAAATGAAATGAAACTTATTTTTTTGAAGATAAAGATGATAAAATCATGTTATAATTATCAAATTAATCTAATTATATTTAGAAGTAATGTTACAATGACCATGTCTTTAAGCCATATAGGGTTTAGTATCTCATTTATCATAAATACGTTGATTGAATAAATTCCACCACTCATGTTTGTTACCAATACAATGATAACGCATTCCATGATAAACCAAACGAGGTATAAAGACATGATCATTGTGGCATTACTCTTAAAAATAAGGGAAACTTACTGATAAGTCCCATGTACTAAGTTCAAAACCCAGCTAATCCCAAAACAAAATACTTGCACCGATTAGTCCAATACATTTTTAATTGTTACCAAAAAATCCTTTTTTTTTTTTTTTAATTTGCAGACACTGTTCACATCTTACTACCGTCGGACTTCCGTCAAACGGTCGCCAGAGACTCGTCGGAATGTTCAACATCACCGGAGACTCGTCGGAATGTTTAAAACATGTTATGAAACTGTAAAATTTTACAGTTTTAAAAAATGTTATAAAACTGTAAAATTTTACAGTTTTAATCCATGATTCATTCCAGCACCAAAAAAAAAATTTGAAACTGCAAAATTTTACAGTTTTCACCGCCTGTAACTAAAACTCGAAAATTACTTGTTCAGAATTAGTAAATTTTCTCATTACAAAATTGTGTGATATCTGTACAAATCTGAGTCATTACAGATCTGTTTCAATGATATTATAGATCTATTTCATCATCAACAACAACAACCATAGATCAACAACTATCCCAAAAAAAATCTGTAAATAAAGAGAGAAAGAGAGAGAAATTGACAAAGATATATACACAAATCTGTTCAATCTAAGCACAGATCTGAGGATGAGCGTCTTCTTGTTCTTGTTCTTCATCGTCTTCTTGTTCTTGTTCTTCATCGCCTTCTTGTTTGACTTTAGGACTGAGATTAGGGTTAGAGGAGGAGGCGTAGAGAGGGAAGCAAAAAGCAGAGAGAGAGGGGAAAGGACTTTTGGGTGTACTAAAAAAGTTATGGGATTAAATGGTGTCCACATATTCCACATGGGACCTATGGGTAATTTCCCCTAAAAATAATTGAAAAACTGTTGAGAAGCCCAATAAGAGCTCTGTGCAATCCAAATGGAAAAATTGCCGACAAGCCCATTACTGATATAAATATTTTACCCATTTACTTTTTCAAAATTTCAAGACAAAATTTATTAGGAAAAATTACAGTAACCTCCTTTGAGATTTAAAAAAAAAAAAAAAGAGAGTAAATTATGTAAATGGTCCTTATAGTTTACACGATGTGTCAATTTGGTCCCTATTGTTTCAATTTGCTTGCTTTTGTCCATTAATTTAACAGATTGTGTCATTTTAGTCCAATAAATAATGGTTGTTAAGTTTGGTGGACGGAAAGTCTACACAATGTGTCAATTTGGTCCTTGTAGTTTACACAATGTATCAATTTGGTCCATATTGTTTTAATTTGCTCGATTTTGATAAGGATCAAATTGACACATAGTTTGACTTTCCGTCCACCAAACTTAACAACCGTTGTTTATTGGATTGAAATGACACAATCCCTTAAATTAAGGAGCAAAATCGAACAAATTGAAACAATAAGGACCAAATTGACATATCGTGTAAACTACAAGAACTATTTGTATAATTTACCCCAAAAAAAAAAAATACAATAAACTTCACAAATTTGGCATAATGGTATTAGACTCTCTTAATATTTAATTCACAAAACACTTAGGGCGTGTTTGATTGGGGGGATTGGAGGGGGGGACTATCCACTATTTAGATTACAATCCAAATAGTGTTCCTTATCCGCCGTTTGATTTTTTTTTAGTCCACCGGACATGGAGTCCGGCCGGACTCCATGTCCCCCATATGGGGGACTATTGTGTCCTAGGGGGGTGGGATAGAATGTGGGGGACTATTCACTATTGGGATTAAATGCGAAAATGACCATTTTGACCATCTACTATTTAATTATGTATTATATTTAATAAAATTCAATAAAATTTAAATGTCTCAATTTAAAAATAAAATAATTTTATTTAACTTTTTATTGATGTTTTATTTATTTAAATTTTTAAAATAATTTTTTATAGATATTTTATTGATGTTTTATTTTAAAATTTTGTTTATAATTTATTTAATTTCATTATTTAAATTTAATAGATGTTTTAATAGATGTTTTATTTAAACAATTAAATGTTTAATTTCAACAATAAATAATTTCATTTATTTAAATTATGTTTTATTTAAACATTTAAACATTTGTACATCAACATGTTTATTAAATTATTTCAACATCTGTACATCAACATGTATATTTATTTAACATCTATTAAATTATGTTTTAAAATTTAACCATTAGTATGTTTAATGTTTACTAAAAATAATTAAAATATTAAAGATATGTTTAATATTGCTATTACTTAGTAAACAATTGAAAAAGGGTAAAATAGTCTTTTGTTCATTTATCCTATCCAGTCCGTCCAACCAAACGTTGGATTCACTGAAAATAGTCCTATCCAGACATCTAATCCCATGAAAAAACAAACACAGGATACATATCCAATCCGACCAAATAGTCCGGGGGATTCACAGTCCCAGGACTCAAGTCCGATGGATTCTAATCCCCAATTTTCCAGTCCGTCCAATCAAACACACCCTTAGCCCCTTTTTCATTGATAATATATTAATCATATGGATTAAAAATTAATGTTATATCTTTTATATTGAAATATGTATTTTACATTATTTATTTTTGTGTTAGAGAAGTCTGTGAAATTAATAAATAATGTAAAAACTATGGGAGTTGTATTTATCCTTCAAATCTTAATGGAGGTTAGTGTAAATAGATAGATATTTAGCTCTTTCGTGAAATCACATTTAATTTTGTGTGGCATCTCCTGTTTTTAATTTCTTAAGAAAAGATGTAGTATATATTGTCGAGCATCTATATTGCATATGTGTTTGACCTCCATTATTAACTTGATAATAAATACTTATCTCTTGCCAAGCCTAATACATGTTGCACCCAATATACACAAGCACATTGAATGTAATAGCTTTTAACTGGTCTTTGATGTCTTCCACTTTCAAATTTGATTGCAGCTGAATTCATAGGTATGCTTTTCTTAATAAAGAAGTTGGAGAAATAGATTTTGGCCCTATTTATGAAAAAACCAAGGCTACAAGATGTTCTTATATATGAACAAACTGTTTAGCTGTTACAATTACATTTTATCTGTTATTGGGTTTGTATAAAGCACATTGAATATAGTTGCTTTTAATTAGCAGGTATTCGTTTTCAAAATTTGATTGCAAATGTTTTGCTAGGTATGTTGTTCTTGATAAATAGGAGGTGTGGGTGGATCTACTCAATTTCTATGAAGATCAAAAAGCTGAAGAAGCAGATAGCGGACCTATTTATGCATAAACCGGCTACAACTTTACAAGGTGTTCTCATTTATGAAAAATTGTTTAGTTGTTATGTTTTCATTTAACTTTTGTCCAAACTTGGGGGAAAAAAAAAAAAAAAAACACTATTGTCCCAACTTTGAATAATTTGTTTGCTATTATTTGGTATTGCTAGGTTTGTATTAGTGTGTCTTTTTGTGGTATTGCTGGGTTGATTGTGCTTTTTGTTTTGTGGTACAACTGAATTAACTTTATTATTAGCCATGTAATAATTTGTGTTTGAGTATGTAAGTGTGCTTTATGTGTAATTGCAACAATGCCATTATTATTTGATGTGAGTTTTTTTTTTTTTTTTTTTGTCTCCCACGGTATCCCCAGGTTTTTTTAGACCTAGGACTAATCCGTCGAGGAAGCTGCTGGGCGCAAATGCGGGGTCCTCTCCCAAGGGGGTTTGCTGCATCCACAAAGGCTTGAACTCGAGACCTTTGCTTAAGCGACCCAAGTCCCTTTCCAGTTGGACCAACCCCCATTGGTTTTAAATATGACTTATTGTTGATGTACTTTTAAATACAATGATTTTTTTATTTTTTAAATTGCATATTTTAGATATGCAATTTATTATCTAGCCTCCGTTACTACCTTTGTTTAGCTAATTCATAACCATGAATTGTATGTTATGAGGAAATTGATAAAAATGTAATTTATTAGGGAGTAAATATTTCTAAATTAACAAAAGAAAATTCTAGATTGAAAAAATGGTATTGCTCGAGTCACTACTTAACTTTATTGAATGGCTTGAAAGCATTGCATAGGAGAGTAGACTCTGAACTCAAAAAAAAAACATGAAATTATACTTTTGGCGACTAAATTTTTAGTTGTCAAAAGTCAGAATTTAGTCGCCAAAATATTTTCCCGACTAAATAGTTTGGTCGCCGGCTTGGTCGCGGGAAGACTGTCGGGGAAGGTATTGGCGACTGAAACATAGTCGCCAAAAGTCCTAAATTGGCGACTAAATAATTAGTCGCCAAAAGGAAAGGTATTGGTGACTAATTTTTTTTTTAGTCGCCGAAAGTCAACAATTGGCGATTAAAAATTTAGTCGCACAACATTTTCAATAAATGGGCTTTTTTGTTTTAGCGACTAAAATATTTAGTCGTTAAAAACGTGGCACTCCTTTTTAGTTACTGATTTTTTAGTAGCTAAAATCAAGGTGCTTCTTTTCAGCTACTAATTTTTTAGTCGCCAAAAATTTTCATTTTTTTTTGGCTACTAACTATTTAGTCGCCCACAAGTTCTCTTTTTATTTTTTGGCTATTAAATATTTAGTCGTCAAAAACTCTATTTATTAATTTTTTTTAAAATGCATAAATTGAATATTTTTCATTAATTTATGAATTTTATACATCCCATTATCAATGCAACCTGTAACATGTACATATAGGGTGTGCTTGTTTGGACAGACTGGATAAAGAGGGATTGAAATTTACCGAACTATTAGTCCTGAAATATATTGTTTCCAGACTATTTGATTGAATTAGATGTCAAGAAAAGACTATTTGGTTAGATAAGATATGAATCATATGTTTGTTTGGAATATTATGAAGAAAGATAAATGTTCAAATGACTATTTTAACCTTTTCAATTATTTACCAAGTAATAGCAATATTAAACATATCTTTAATATTTTAATTATTTTTTACTAGATTAAATAAAAATTTGTTTTATTTTATTTTTTACAAAATTAAATAAATTAAATATCAATAAACATATATGTTATTTTTAAATTAAAATTTTAAATAAATTTATTTTAAAAAATAATAATAATTAAATAATGAAATTAAATAAAACATCTATTAAAATTTAAATAATGAAATTAAATTACAGATCTATCAATTATCATCTAAATTCATTATCAATAATACTCATTTCATTATTAACTATCCAAAAAATTTGGTTGTGTAGAATTAAAATTTGGTTGGAAAGAAATACAAGAGCTTTTTTAGAGCAAGATTGAAGAGAATGGAGGGTTGTGGGACATTATTTGTTATTTGTCTTTCTTTTGGGCTTCAATGTCTTCTCCTATCAAGGGGATACCTATATTTATCCCAAAAAAAAAAAAAAAAAAAAAAACAAAGGGTCTACCTTTATTTTTTATTTCCAGAAATTGGAGGGCTATATGTGACTCGTAATTTTGTTTTTACATTTCATCCACCCCCCAAGGGAGCATCCACTCTACAAAGAACAAAAGAAACAGACCCACAATGATGTGCTAGAACCTCATAAAAAGAATATACCTTGCTTTTAAATCAATATTCAATTATCTATTGGATTTTAACTTCTTTAACAGTAGAAAACCAAATTCTACTACATCTAGTCAACCAACTTGACAAGGAAAAAAACAAATTGCATACTCTCAATGCTAGGAGCAAAAACTTGAATAATTACAAGTAAACATTGCTAGAAATATATACAAGAGTTGCATACCAGTTAAAACAATAGGACAACTCCGTGGAATATCAAATCTCTACATGAAGTAGAACTGCCTCATTTAAGAGAATCAAAAGAGGGCAGATGTGAGAGAGAGAGAGAGAGAGAGAGAGAGAGAGTCACAGAGTGAGAGAGACAGACGTTTTTAAGCCTCACTCAATTCCTCAAGAAAACAACATTCCTCAGCTTCCAGATGGACCACAATACCACCAGAGGTAAAGCTTTCCAAATTTTCTATTCAAATTTGTTAAATGTGAACCCAGACCACCAAAGCAACACTCCTTCCATAGATTCTGGCATCACCCAATGGATCCCCTACCATTGTAGCACATCAGACCAAATTCTCTAGATATGTGGGCACCACAGTAGCACATGGTTCACAGTCTCTGGTTCAGCATTACAGAACAGACAATCCATATTGGCATTGCCATTGATAACACAAAGTCTTTGCAAGCATGTAGCAGTCTTCAATCTTTGTCTCCAAGCTAACCAAGCAAAACATATGACTTTGGGTGGGGTTACATTCTGCCAAATCATCTTATAAACTCCTTTTATATCATTGGAATTTGCACTGAAGTATAAACTGACCAAAGCTCTCAGCTTTCCATAACAAACTGCCATCCTTATCTGCCCTCAAAGCATTGTCTGAAGCTAACATGTTGACTCTAGCCACATCCTCCCTTTCCCAATCCCTCAACAGTCTTATAAACCCTAGCTCCCAATCAGAAAAACCTCTTATAAACACTATTCCATGGACCACATCACCACCCAATTCTATAGAACTTTTATTTATAATCACTATGCAGTTTTTGATACCATATCATATTCTCTTTTTCTTAGACTGGTTCATGTTTCAATTTCCAAAGTGAACTATGGTCCGATTGGTCTTAGAAATATTTAGATAAAAAGACAAACAACAAACCAAAACAGTATGTGCTCAAAAAAAAAAAAAAAAAAAAAAAAACAAACAAACAAAAAAAAACAAACAAACAAACCAAAACAGTACAAACACAGAAGAGAATTAGAATGCACCATCTTTTCAATTTGAACTACTTCCCTTAAAAACTTTACAGATAATGGCACGTTTTTAAATCAAATACGTCTACTTGATTTTTGAGCTGCTCTATTTCTCTCTGATTACACATTTGATTTTTCAGATTTTTTTTTTATCATTAATTTTCCGTTGAGGAAATCCATTTTATTCCAGAAGAAGTACAATCAGCAACACATAATCTATTGTTTTTGATTTCTTAGCATTTCCAATTACAAAAGAAGAAAGCGGTATGGATGGACTATATATGTACATCAATTGAATGTCTGCTTGAAAACGGAATCAATTATAACAAGGAGATAAAAGCTTGAAGTGAATGAGTACCTACCTGGGAGATCACATCAAACCATAGAATTAATGTATTACAATGGTCAAAAATCTAACTAATAAGAATTTGATTAAAATAATGAATAATAGCAGAGGTCAACTGTCTATTCAATCCAAACAAGAAAATATTGCTCCAATGGGATGCCCAATGAAGCCATGTTTTCCAATTTCCGAATAAAAGAAAACCAGAAATACCAAATGTGATTTCTATACTTCTTCCCCAAAACTATATTACAATCCAAATGGTGGAAAAGAGAGACAAATATTAGGGAAAAAGAGGCAGAGAGAGAGACAGAGAGAAGGCAAAATAGAGAGGACATACTTGGGGTAATGCTCCAATAGTGGATCGACGGTGGTGTTCGATGGCGGTGATGCTTCTTACCCGACGGCGATGGAAACAAAGTGATAGAGATTCAATATCAGAAGAGGGCAACCGGCATGAGAGAGAGAGAGTAATAGAATGAGAGAGACAGGGGCATGAGAGAATCGAAAGAGGGCAGATGCATGCGCGCGCGCGCGCGCGAGAGAGAGAGAGAGAGAGAGAGAGAGAAAGAAAGAGAGAAAGAGAGAGTCACAGAGTGAGAGAGACAGACGTTTTTAAGCCCTAACTCATTTTAGTGTGTTTGAAATCCATCCAAAATCTCTCCAGAGTTCCTCACCAAAATAATTTAAAAATCCCTCCAAAATTTGGAGTCCAACCTCCAAAACTTATAATTACAATTGCCGACTAACAACTTTAGTCGGCAAAAGTCAGCTAAAGGTGACTAAGCCCTGATCTGGCATTCATGTTGGGACTAAAAAATCATAAAAAAACAGAATTGACTACAAAAGCCAATAAGATAAAATACTACTTATTACCTATAATCATTACACTTTTTCTTTTAAAAAGTTAAAAAAGTTCAAAAACAAAAACCAAACGAATCTCAAAAAGTCCCAACACAAAAAGTTGACTACCATAAGCAATGTCAAACGAAGCTTAAATTTTTTTTAGTAGCTATATATTGCCGACTAAATGTGTTTTGGTCACCAAAAATGTATATTTGCCGACCAAATAAGGTAGTCACCAAAGATTAAAAATAAAATTATACTAGATATTAGGCGACTAAATTTCTTTTAGTCGGCAAAAGTTAGTATATGACGACTAAAATTTATTTAGTTGTTGAAAATAAATTTTTGGCGCCCAAAAATAAAAAGTAAATTTTTGCTTTCTATTCGGCGACTAAATAAATTTAGTAGCTAAAAGTAACTATACAACGACTAAAATATTTATTTAGTCGTTGAAATTAAATTTTTGCCAACCAAACTTTTGGTCGCCAAAGATAAAAAGTAAATTTTTGTTTTTCATTCGGCGACTAAATAATTTTAGTAGTCAAAACTAACTATACAATGACTAACATATTTTTTAGTAGCCAATTGTGGAATTTTTAGTAACTAAAAATTTTTTTAGTCACCAATTGTGGCATTTTTAGTGACTAAAGCTTTTTTAGTCGCCAATAATTAATATATCCCGACTAAAAAGAATTAGTAGCTAAATCTTGTACTTTTGCCGACTAATATAATTTTTGGTTGCCAATTCCACAACTTTTGGTGACTAAATTTTTTTTAGTCACCAAATTTGGTCACCAAAAGTGTAATTTCTTGTAGTGATATAATCAACTTTAAACTATGTTTGGTTCATGAATTTAGGTAAGAATTTGAAAGAGAAAGTAAAAATACAAGTGAAATGTGAATGAAATATACTACATTTCACACACTTTTTCTCTTTTCTTTCTAAATCTCTACTTAAATTCATGAATCAAACGCAGTCTTAAGAAAATTCTTATCTTGTAGAGAAC